AAGTATTGATATAGAAGCCAAGTATTAGCCCATCATATCTTACTTAGCATGCAGAAAATAAAACAGTATGTTTGTTTGAACCTATAGCACAGAATTCAAGTCTTCTAATGGCAATCTGCCCTGTGGAGGTTCAAATGTGTTTGTGACTTTAACTAGTATCACTATCCCACAATACTGTGAAATTTGTGAAATTTATGTAATCACTTAAACTCAATAAAAAATTATTAAAAAAATTCAAGTCTTGGGGGCTGGGAAGGTGGCTCAGTGGTAGAGTGCTTGCCTTGCATGCATGAGGCCCTGGGTTTGATTCCACAGCACTACATAAGCAGAAAAAAGCCAGAAGTGGGGCTGTGGCTCGAGTGGTAGGGCGCTAGCCTTGAGCTGAAGAGCTGAGGGACAGAGCCCAGGCCGAGTTCAGGACCATGACCGACAAAAAAATAAATAAATTCAAGTCTTCACTGCAAAAAAGTTTTTTCTATATTATTGTATTATTAAAACTCATGTCTGTAAACCTAGCTACTCAGGTGGCTGAAATCTGAGGATGGCAGTTTGAAGCCAGCCCAGGCAGCAAAGTGTAAAACTCTTATCTCCAATTAACCATCAAAACCTCCAGAAATGGAGCTGTGGATCAAGTGATAAGGAGCTAGACCTTGAACAAAAAAATCTCAGGGACAGAACCCAGGCCTGAGCTTAAGCCACAGGATCAGTATAAAAAACAACAACAAATAAAAAACAACAACAACAAACTTTCCTAAAAAGTAATGTTACATTGGGCACTAGTGGCTCATACCTGCAATCCTAGCAACTCAGGAGGCTAAGATCTGAGGATCATGGTTCAAAGCCAGCCGAGGCAGCAAAGCCCATGAGACTCTTATCTTTAATAAACCATCAGAAAACTGGAAGTGGTGCTGTGACTCAAGTGATAGACTCTAGCCTTGAGCTGAAAAGCTGAGGGACAGCGCCCAGGTCCAGAGTTCAAGCCCCACAACTGACAAAAAAAAAAAGTAATGTTACTTAAGAAATGATGCTCCATTTGAATGTGTGTGTAGTTATTAGCAATTAGATAGGCTCCGAAAGGAGTTAAAATAAAATAAAAAGTTAAAATAAAGTCCCTGATGAACTTTCTAGCGTTAGAGAATTCCATTGGCAAAGGAATTCCTCAGTCAAAGCCACTGTGAGACTGGCTGTATACACAGCATGAAAAACTCCTAAACTAATTCAGCAGATATTATCACTAGATGGAAGCTACACTGAGACCTTTTTCTTCCAAATTTGTTGGTAGCACATACCATAATTAAAATGTAATGAATTTATATGAATTTTTTAAACCAATTTTCTATTGCATTATACTCTGGAACAAACTATTTTTGAATGGCAGGCCCACCTTTATTTAAGAGTTAATTTAAATCCCAACAACTTTTTTCTTTCTCAAGTAGCAAAACTCAGATATGAAAATGACCTCTCAGGAATCTTTCTCAAAGTCTTCATCTTCAGTAGTTTAATTTTGTTTCTTCCTCAAATTCTAAAAGAACAAAGAATTAAAAGCCTCAAGATATAAGAGTAAAACCTTCCATTTATTGAAATACAAAGTTTTTCCCTGAGGTTTTAATTTGGCTTAAATGTCTATCCTAAAAATATGATACCATTTCTAAAGTTTTATACTATTATACTCTAAAATGGAGAGGGTTAAATGAGAATAGAGGAGGTGAACTTGTTCAAAGTATACTATATCCACATATGAAAGAAAATAGCACAAAAGAAATCCCCTTGTTCTATTAATGTATAATAATAAAATACAACGTTTTCTAAATTTGGCTACTTTTCTTTGGTCTTTCTAGAGGTTGTTTCTTAAGATCTCACTATGCAGGTTGGCCTTAAACTTGAGACCCTTCTGCTTATGCCTCCAAATGCTGAGATGGCAGGCCTGTACTACCATAGCTAAATATTTTTTTTTTAAATTACTTCTCAAGGCTGGGAATATGGCTCAAGTACAAGGTCCCGAGTTCAAACTCAGTGCTGTCTGTCATCATCTATAAACCCTGTAGCCCCTCCCCCCTAATTCTGGGGGATCAAATCCAGGATCTTGAATATCTCAGTATGTGTTCCACTATTGAATAACATTCCCAAGTCCTAAAAAGTTTGTTTTACCTTGTTTTTCTTCAGTACTAATGCTTAAGCACAGGGCCTCCCATTTGCTAGGTAGGCACTCTACCATTTGAGCCACAGCTGTAGCCCCTAAAGTACAATCTTAACTTAGTACTCTATTAAAAACCTTACAACAATGGAATTATAAGGCCCAAAGGCTCAGGAGGCAGGACAGGTATTTGAGGAAACAAAAGGGAAAAAACCCATCTAGTTTCAAGAGATACTGTTGCTTTAAACTTTATTCCAGCCAGGTACTCCTTTGGTCTAGCACTGAAAAAGTACAAATTACACACATCCTCACACTTTCAAAATATGCCAAAGAATTATTTATTAACACAGGACTTACAGATCACAAAAGAGAATAGTACAGAGAGCTGGAAAAGGAAGTCATCAGAATAAGCATGCAGATCAGTATTTGCAGAGGGATATACTAAAGCAAATTCAAAAAGGCACATTCACACAGAAAATGTCTAAATTGAAAAAAGACATCAGAAAGTGGCCAAATTAAAAAAAAGGTGCTGATTAAAATACAAAGAGTTTTACTATCAAAGAAGAGCTGCTTTACAGGTAGGTAGCTACAGAAGTCTTGCTGACCTTTTGTGAAAGCCACAAATAAGAGTAAGCTCTTACTGTCAACAAAACCAAATGATCTTAATAACTAAACATAAAGATGTAGCAGTGCCAGAGATTAAATTTAGTTGGGGGAGAAAAGCAGACTCATTGAAATTATAAGCAGCAAGGGCTCAAAAGTTTAAATGCAATAATATGCAGAGAAATCAGGCAATGTTATTGGTAATATCTACCTTCTATACAAAGAATTATAGCAAGAGTTTAAGAGAGACAGTATCCCCTTCAGAGTTAAGTTAGGGTTTCTAAACAGGAAAAGGTCCACAGATACTATCTACTAGGTTTTACTTGCTTCACCAGTCCACTTCTTATTTCTGCAACAAGATGTATATTTAACCCTTAAACTCACAGAGCAAGAGATACTGTGGTAAACAGGAGGAGAACGTAAAACCATATGGTACTGAAGCATTGCCTGCCACTTGCCCTCTCTAATGCACTGATATAGTAGTTCAGCTGAACAACAGCACAGGTCAAGCCCCTTGGTCAGTCATCAAACCCTTTTAACAACCGCTCTAAGGGGATACTGCTCCTTTCCAACAGGAGGGTTACAGATCAACCGGAGGCAACAATCTTGCTTTTAAGAGCATTGTCACTCTGAGAGAGTTGGCTTGAACAGGGCAGGTTTCATTTTGGAATGTTCCAAATGTACATAAAGAACATGAGCACAGATTATTTTAACAGGTCCATCAGAAGAGCTCAGTTAAAAAACCAATCTCCATTCCCCAAATAAAATAGGGGGAAAAGACACTCCAAAACTAGACTAGACCTATTTCATAAAGACATCTAACTTGGCACTGTGAAAGAATATAGATTCATTTTCAGAAAAATAGCTTCTAATGAAAACTTCAGAGTTTAAAAGGCTAGTATACATGTTATGAGATTTTTAAATAAAAATCAAATACTATTGTTCAGAAGATAGAGCACTTTGCGACCAATTGTTATGGCTCTGCAGCTCGCGCACAAGAAGGAAAAAAATCACTGTCTCAAACAACATTAAATAAATAAATAAATAAATAAATAAATAAAATAGTGAAGGGCACAGGAGCTCTTCAGACAGTCCATGGCACTCAGAAAACACCTCAGCAAGTTGCAATATGATACATAACATCTTTGCTAATTTGCTCCTAATTAAACATACAGATTAAGAAAACCTTCAACATACCAATAACTGAAGAATGGACATCATTTTGGTTTCTGACTTACCAATTTAATGTATGCAAAATCTACAGTACTTTACATTTTCTGCCTGGACCTGTAATCTTGGAAGTGTGTTATGTATCCCTCTCAGGTTAAAAAAAAATCATAAACAAAACTCTTCAAATGAATAATACATTTCTAGAATAATACTGTAACACTGAGACCATTTTCATCATTAAAGGCCACAAAATAGGTTTATCTTTCTATATACATATCAAAAAACAAACAAAAACTAGAACACTAGAAATCTAGCTTTTGAGACAGAAAGTTGGATTAGAGAATAAAATGCTACATGTAAATCCACACTGAATTTAAAGAGGGATTCCTAAAAAGATGCTTTCAAACATTTTATCAGAAAGTTAGTGGTTACCCTATTCTAGCATCTACAGATTTATTATAACCTAATACTTGCAATAAGAGTTCACACTCAAAACAGCACCTGGATTCTACTAACAACACAGGCCCCTCTCCTTGCCATGGGACATCTGTAAATAAGTGCTTTCCCTTTCCTCCTCAAGGGATGTAGCAAGCTGCAATACAACTGGTTTGAAGCTTTTACTTCCTTGGCCTTATAAGAGTGGGTTCTTTAAACCAAACTGGCTACTATGTGGGCAGCTAAGAGAAGACAATACCCAAGAGAAGACAATAGGAGAGGGAAACATTGATTTCACTCACCAAAATGAACAAACACTGCTGACACTCATAAGTCCTTATAAAATGTCTGGCAACATGGGAGTTCATTAAGCAGTGGGTTCTTATATGACTCTGACACCAAAAATTAGTATTGGATTTCAAAAATAAAAACATTTTGGTTATCCAATCTAAGTTTCAGAGTAGTCACAGTGTCCATATGCCCAAGTACCCATAGATTCAAATTTAACACTGCTTCAAGGAGACTGGAAACAGTGAGGTTAATTATTAGAAATTCATAAAGGTAAAGGACCAGCTCACCAGTCTTTTGTAAATCAACATGCACAGACATGTTTGAAATCTCCATCACCATTACCAGAGCAATCTCACCAATTCCTCACCTGCAGCAGGAGGGTGCTGGCCACTAACTGTTGGCAAATCCAAAGAGCTATCAGACATGACATGTTTAAGATCTCCTCCCACATCAGCCAATTTCATGTCAAACTGAACAGAAAGTGCATCTTCAGAGTCCTCCTTGCCGACACTGCTGCCACCAATGGAAGGGAGATCCAGGGACTTCACCGAAGCAGAGTCTTCTTTGGTGTGTCTGAAAGCCACTGCTTTCTCTCCCAGGGATTTGTCGGAGTTCATGGATGAAAATTTACTGGAGTGGAAGTCAGCAAAATCATCTTCACTTTTTCCAGAAGGAGTGTTATCTTTCAACTCTTCTACACCTAGTCCAGCTCCTTCAAGGGAAAGTTGCTTGAATACATCATACTTGGTAGATGCTGCAGTTGAGTTCTGTGCACTCTTTGCTGTGCTGCCTGAGTTGCTGGTGAGAGGCACAGGACTAGTTTCGTCCCTAACGACATCATATTTGTCATCTGCCTTTTGCTCAGATGAAATGGCGTTATTACTGAAAGCCATAAAATCTGCAAAGTCATCCTGTTCCCCAACAGATGCTGGACTCGAATATTCCCCAAAAAGGTTGAATTCTCCAAAATCATCAGCCAAATTAGAAGTTTTAGTGGATACCAGTGTTGTTGTAGTTGTGGCAGAAACCACTGGCTGAGGTCGTGCAGAAGCTAATTTGGATGTGCTAAATGCAGCCGAAAAAGGCAATGCTTTCTCACTGCTACAATTAACAGAGGAAAACATATCCAGGTCTGCAAGGTTCAGAGGACTTTTCACTTGCGTTTGTTGTTTCAGTTGTGTAGTTCCTGAGGGGAAAGATGCTGGAAAAGTTGTGTCTTTTGTCGGCGGCTCTAGTGGTGAAATACTATCGGCTGTCTTAAAATCTGTGAAGCCATCATCGATTCCTGTAGACCTGAATTCTGCAAAGCTGTCTCCTGAAGGATAAAAACATAGCCAAATAAGAAGGTTAAAACTGAAAACTATATAATGCACAGCACATTAACAGGAGTGTAACTGAACAGGCTTCATTGGCTTGACAGAGTCAATTTAAGTCCTATGGAACACATGTGAATCCACACTGACAGTGACATGGAAAAAGTCACTGTTCTGGAGACTTTCATCCTCTGGCCAGACAGTCAACCATACAATAAAATAGAAATAAGTACTACAGGTTCCTGACATGCATTGAAAAGAGTAACCATTCAAAGATTAAAGCATGTTACATGGAGGGTGTCGGGGAAGAGGAGGGAGAGTGACAGGATGAGTCTGTTCAAGGGGACATGGTATGTACATCTGGAAATGTCAAAATGAAACCCCCTTGCACAATGAATTGATGCTAATAAAATATGAGGGAGAAAAAGTGTGTGTGTGCGTGGGGGGGTGTTGCCAGTCTTGGGGTTTGAACTCAGGGCCTGGGCACTGTCCCTGCGCTTCTTTTGCTCAAGGCTAGCACTCTACCACTTGAGCCACAGCACCACTTCTGTCTTTTTCTGTTTATGTGGTATTAAGGAAGCAAACTTCATGCATGCTAGGCAAGCACTCTACCACTAAACGACATTCCCAGCCAAACTTTTTTTTGGTGATGGTGGGCTTGAACTCTGGGCCTGGGCCCTCTCCTTGAGCTCTTTAGCTCAAGGCAAGAGCTCTACCACTTGAGCCACAGCACCATTTCCAGTTTTCTGGTAGTTAGGTGGAGATAAGTCTCAGAAGCTGGGCGCCAGTGGCTCATGCCTGTAATCCTAGCTACGAAGGAGGCTGAGATCTGAGGATGGTGGTTGAAAGCCAGCCAAGGCAAGAAAGTCCATGAGACTCTTATCTCCAATAAACCACTCAGAAAACTGGAAGTGATGCAGTGGCTCAAGTGATAAAGCACTAGCCTTGAGCTGAAGAGTTGAGAGACAGTGTTCAGGCCCAGCGTTCAAGCCCATGGTCCTCAAAACAAGACAAAACAAAACAACTGTGATCCTCAGATTTCAGCCTCCTTAGTAGCTAGATTACAGGTGTGAGCCATTAGTGCCTGGCCAAACATTAAATTTTTAATCAGCAGTACCAATGAAGTATTACAAGAAGTCCTGCACCTAATATTCAGCATATATAGTACATTTTGATTAACTAAGCACTTTAAGAACTATACTAGGCATGGTAGTATATACTTGTAATCACAGGAGCTTTGAAGCTGAATCATGAAGACCATGAATTCGAGACCAGCCTGGTTTACATAGCAAGACCCTGTCTTAAAAAAAAAAAATCAGAAATGAGGGCTGTTACTCAGTAATATACTCAAGACACCAAATATACAAGGCCCTCTGTTCCATGCCCAGTACCTAAGTAAATAAATAATCTATGTGTTCTTTCTTAAGTATATGGAGGCATTAACTTAAAAGAAATTATGTTTTCACCAGACAGGGTCTATGTAGCCTTAGGCTGCTTTTGAATTCAGCCTTCTGAGTGCTGGGATTATATATGCATCTGCCACCATGCCTCACAAGGTGAAAGTTTGAGAAAAGGCAGTTACTTAGTGGTAAAACATTCTACATAGGGCACAACTTAAAACAAGTCCTCTCCATACTGTCTAACAAACTGAAACTCATCCCTCAAAAAATATGAGTATGTGGGCCTTTCTCAAAATCAGCTGCCTTCCTGTCCTAATGAGCACTATTTCTTAAAAATCTGTTTAATTACTGAATAGTACTCCTTACAGATATGGTATTAGGATGCAGATGATTTTGGTTTTCTAAGTGCCTGACGGTCTAACCTTAAAAGATTAGAAAACCAAGGTAGTGAAAACCAGAGGTAAGTCAAATATAAATACAGTTACTTATTCTAGTTAATATCACTTGTTATTTAAAAACATAACTACTATATTGGCACTAGTAGCTCATGCCTAAAATCCTAGCTACTCAAAAGACTCAGATCTAATGATAAAAGTTCAGAGGCAGCTCAGGCAGAAAAGTCTGAGAGACTCCATTTCTAACATAATCAGTAAAAGAAAAGCTGGACTGAAGATGTGGTTCAAGTGGTAGAGCACCAAGAAGCAAAATAAGCTGAGAGTACAAAGCTCTGAGTTCACACTCTGGTACTATCATAAAACTAACTAACCAAAATAAGAAATGACTGCTATTTCTGGAGATTTATAAATTAAAATACAAACTTTAACTTCCTCACCCATTTTTAAGATTCTATTTTCCCCTAAAATTAGATAAACATATGAATCTAAAATTATATATAGAAACCAAAACTCAAAAATTTTAAATTGACAGCCGGGCGCTGGTGGCTCACGCCTGTAATCCTAGCTACTCAGGAGGCTGAGATCTGAGGATCACGTTTCAAAGCCAGCCCGGGCAGGAGAGACCGTGAGACTCCTATCTCCAATAAACCACCAGAAAACCGGAAGTGGTGCTGTAGCTCAAGTGGTAGAGCGCTCGCCTTGAGCTGAAGAGCTGAGGGACAGCGCCCAGGCCCAGAGTTCAAGTCCCACGACCGACAAAAAAAAAAAAATTTTAAATTGACATATAATTTAGGCTTAAAAAGTTGAGCTTGCAACACAGTTTATACTTTAACATATTGGGTGGAAAAGCATTAGAAATGCTTTTTATCCTAATTAAGATCAGGATTTTATCTCCTAATTTAATATTGAACCCATCTGCTAGTAAAATTCATCAACACAAATCCATCTAATACTATTAAAGAAATTTATAAGAAAAACAACATTCAGATTTCCTGTAATTGATGTTTTCAAGATATACTACTAATAAAATTGCAGTCAATTTCACAAAATGACAAGAGATACAAATGTAAAATGTGTAAAAGCAATGCTAAAATTTTAGACAAGTATATCATGAATTGTATTTGTTTCTTCTGTAAGCCAATTTATCAAAGTCTTTTTTTTTTTGGCCAGTCCTGGAGCTTGAACTCAGGGCGTGGGCACTGTCCCTGAGCTTCTTTGTATTCAAGGCTAGTGCTCTACCACTTGAGTCACAGTGCCACTTCTGGCTTTTTCTGAGTAGTTTATTGGAGATAAGAGTCTCATGGACTTTCCTGCCGAGGTTGGCTTCAAACCATAATCTTCAGATCTCAGCTAGCCGAGTAGCTAGGATTACAGGTATGAGCCATCAGCACTCAGCTCAGCCTAAACTTTTGATGCATTGCTTTGAAATATCTGTGAAATTGACAAATTTTGCTTTATTTTTAAAAAGGAACTCATCACAGCAAACTAAACTTACTGATAAATTATAAAGTGTTCCATCAGAAACGTAAACTGGGTGAAAGAGTTGGCAGAAAATAAAATGGGTGGGTTTATGACTTCAAAAACAAAGGGAATATTTTGGCAAATAAGTTAAATTCAGTCATTGGAAGTTTGCATATCAGAAGGCATATTGAACATTTTACTTCATAGGTTAACATGTAAATTCTTATATTTCTTTCTTGATTTGTCACTCCCCCCCGCCCCCCCCCTCCCCTGGTTATGGGGCTTGAACTCAGGGCCTGGGCACTGTCCCTCAGCCTCTTTATGCTCAAGATTAGTGCTCTACCGTATGAGCCACAGCACCACTTTCGGGTTTGAGTGATTAATTGGAGATAAGAGTCTCAAGTCTGCCCAAGCTGCCTTCAAACAGTGATCCTCAAATCTCAGTCTCGTGAGGAGCTAGGATTATAGGAGTGAGCCTCAGGTACCTGGCTCTGTCACTTCTTTAGCCCTACAAACAACAAAAAGATCTCGAATACTTTTTTTTTTAATTAAAGCTTCAATAAGAAGTGACCCTTCTTCCTATTTTCCATTCTTACTATGTAGCCCAGGCTACATCGAATTCATGTTCCTCCTGCTTCATCTTCAAGCCACTTCAGTGCTAGGTTTACAGGTATACTTCACCAAGTATGGCTTATGTCAATGGATTTTTAAGATACACTGTAGTTATAAAAAATACAGCATATTATTTAGGAGAATAAAACATTTTCCCTTAAAATGAACAAGTGAGTAACTCGTCTTAAAAGGCTTTGGGGGGGGAAAGGGGGGGAGAAGAAGGTTTGGGATTGGGGGGGAGGGGGGAGGCTGGGAAGGGAGGTGAAGGGTAAACAAAGGAGGAGGCTGCAATGCTTGGTAAGAAATGTACGCATTATCCTGCCCATGTAATTGTAACCCCTCTGTACAGTATGTTCACAAATAAAATTAAAAAAAAAAAAGGCTTTAGGGGGCTGGGAAGGTGGGCTCAGTGGTAGAGCACTTGCCTTGCATGCCTGAGGCCCTGGGTTCGATTCCTCAGCACCACATAAGCAAAAAGAAAAAAACCGGAAGTGGTGCTGTGGCTCAAGTGGTAGAGCGCTAGCCTTGAGCTGAAGAGCTGAGGGACAGTGCCCAGGCCCAGAGTTCAGGCCCCACAACTGGACCCCCCCCAAAAAAAGGCTTTAGGATTAAAGTCAGAAAGGAATGAAAGTAAGCAAACAAAAAGGGCAAAAAACCAAGACTTCATTCAGGACTGAAAGCAGAAGAACTAAGGCACTGCTTATATTCTGTTCTTTATTGTCCTTTATAGGAGTAATATATAGCATGATCATTAATACTGTATCACACAAAGAACCTCAATATTAAACCAGGCTCTTGCCAGGTGCAGTGGCTGATGCCTGTAATATCAGCTACTCATGAGCTAGAGATTGGAAGATCAAGGTTAGCCTGAGAAAAAAATTTCAAAAGATTTTATATAGCTGACCACCAGAGGTCCATGACTATATATAATCCTAGGTACTTAGGAGGCTAAAATCTGGTGGATCTTAGTTAGAGGCCAGTCTGGGAAGAAAAGTTCACCAGACTCCATCTCTAAAATTACCAGCAAGAAAATAGAGCTGGAGGCATGGTTCAAGTAGCAGAGTACTGGCTTAGCAAGTATGAGCAACCTAGAATTGTAGTACTGCAAGAAAGAAAAGAAAGAAAAAGAGACAGAGACACAGACAGAGAGAGACAGAGTAAGAGAAAGAAAAAGAACGGAAGAGAAAAAGAAAAGAAAGAAAAAGAAAGGGGGAGAGAGAGAGGGAGGGAGGAAGGAAGGAGGCAACCAATAATTGAGTGTAATGGTATGTACTTGTCATCTCAGCTACTCGGGGAAGGAGAAGGATGGTGGTCCAGGCCAGCCCAGGCATAAATGTGAGACCCTATCCTAAAATCATATAAAGTAAAAAGGAGTAGGAGTATGGCTCAAGTGGTAGAGATCATGCCTAAAAAGCAAAAGACTCTGAGTTCAATTTCTCAACATTACCAAAAAGCAAAAACAAAAATCCTGGTTTGCTGGTTGTTGGTGGCTCACACCTGTAATCCTCAATACTCAGGAGGCTGAGATCTGAGAAGTGTGGTTCAAAGGCAGCGGGAGCAGGAAAGTTCATGGGAGTCTTATCTCCAATTTACCACCAGAAAACTGGAAGTGATGCTGTGGCTCAAAGTGGTAAAGTACTAGCCTTGAGCAAAAGAGCTCAGGGACAGCACCCAGGCCCTGAGTTCAAGGCCCCTTCCCCCCCCCAAAAAAATGTACTCTGGCTTTTTATTCCAAACATGCCATAACCCTAAATACTCAGTAATTTGACGAATGGAGGATTCTAATTTAAAGTCAGCCTGGGAAGAAAAGTAAAGAGACTGTATCTCTATTTAACCAGCAAAAAAGCTGGGCTGGAAGTATGGCTCAAGTAGAGAGCATCACTTGAGCAAGCAAGTTCAGCAAATGGGAGTTCAAACTTAGGTAATGAAAAATTCCTCTAATGGTTCAAGTTTGTATTCCTAAGAGGGGCACTGGGTAAGAACAGCTGTTATGTCCTAAAAACTTATATGAAGCCCAAGAAGTATCTATGGAATGTAAGAAAAGTAAGGAATTGAATATTGTAGTTTTCCCTTTTTTAGAGCTACTTAAGCAATATGGTATCATCATCTCCTGCACCCCAAATAGGAGAGTAGTACTGTTTTCAGGAGGAAAGCCAGCCTGGGCAGATAAATCCAAGACACTCTTAACTCCAGTGAACCAGCAAAAAGCTGGATATAAAGGTGTGGCTCAAAGGGTAGAGCACTAGCTTTGATTGGGGGAAAAAGGTTAAGATATCACACAAGGGCCTGAGTTCAAGCCCAAGTATCAGCAAAATAAATATATAAATAAATTTCATTGAATTCAGGGCCTATTGCTTGTTAGGCAAGCATTCTACTGCTTGAGCCATACTCCCAGTCACAAAGCATTTTTAATCATTATATTCTAGCATGTCTTTTAAATGATGAACAAGAAACCAAAAATAAAAAACAAAATGGGACTGGAGATATGGTTAACATAGTAGAGTGCTTGCCTGCCAAGTGCAAAGCCTTGAGTTCAAACCTCAGTAACACCAAGTATTATTATTTTTTTATTATTATTACTACTACTATTAGTAGTAATGCTGCCAGATGCCACAGGAGTAACAGAAATTTTTTTTAGCTTTAAAAAGACAGGCTTTTAATAACTGCTCTTTATCACCAGGTTAAGTCATTCAGTTATGAAGTAATTAGAAATTACAGAAAATTTTTTTAAGATGTGTCTTTTCTACAGTCCATAGTTTAGTTCACTGATTTATTGTCAGTGGTTCTTACTGAGCATTACCATAAACAGTGTCAGTCATAGCTGTCCACCAATACAAGATTCTAAGTTGGACTATGGATTTCCAGTAAAAGGACATGTACTATCTTCTGAGGAGACTGCACTGATTTGAGATTTGTCCTAAATTTGAGGACATGATTTCTAGTAACTGAGCTACATATGCCTACTATTACAATAGTTAGTGTTTATTAAACATAATAGAAGCCAATTAGGGTTTTCTGATTTAAAGTATTTGCAGTTTAAATGTCTATTAAAAATATCATCATTATTTTACCTATTCAGTTTATCTTTCCTCTAAACAAAACATACATATAATAAGTAATGCTCAGAAGTGTCTTTGAATGAACTGTCATCAATTCCCTTTAGGACTCAGATATAATTCAGTAGTAGAAAGCTGGCTTGCTATGTACAAGGCTTGGGTACCATCCTGAGCACCCTCAATTAAAAAAAAAAATAAAAGAATAAAAAACTTACCTACAGATTTACTCTCTGTTGTCTGTTCAAGTTCTCTGAAAGCACTATACTTATCACCAGGTTCTATGATGGAAAGACAGAAGCTCAATTATGGTTAGGAACCTTGTAAGTTCTCAAGGAAGAAAAGGAGATGGGTTAAACAAACATATACCATACATCATATGTATAGTACTTCATCCACTTAATATAAAAGGTCATCACTTAAAGATAATACAATTCAATATTACATGAATTTAACAAACATTTTTACCTCCAAATGGAACAGTATTTTCAGAGGATTTTTCAGCTGCAATTCCTTTAAATACAGCATATTTATCTACTGAAGTCACTGCTTTTGTTCCAGGAAGTGGCATCAACAAAGATGAGGTACTAAGCAAAAAAAAGAAACACATCTTAATGACCAGAACATCAAGTCATTCCATCAATTGTCATCAAACAGTATCTTAGAATATGGCAGAGCCAGGAGCCAGTGGCTGGCTCATGCCTGTAATCCTAGCTACTCAGAAGGCTGAGATCTGAGGATCACAGTTCAAAGCCAGCCTGAGCAGGAAAGTCCATGAAGTTCTTATCTCCAACAAACTACTCAGAAAAAGCCAGAAGTGGCACTGTGGCTCAAGTGGTAGAGAACTGGCCTTGAGCTGAAGAGCTCAGGGCCAGAGCCCAGGCCCAGAGTTCAAGATCCACAGCCAAAAAAAAAAAAAATGCAAACAGGTATTAAGCTAAAACCGTAGAACTTAGAAACTATATGCACATTCCTCAGATGACTATAAGTAATATTTTTACTTGAAAAATTGGGGCAACAAACAAGCAATTTACTTTTTCAAGTAACTTAAGAGGGGTCAGATGGGTCCTTACCTCAGCATCTCTTTAAGCCATAATAATGACTTAAATGACATTGGAAATAAATTACTAAAGAGTAGAGACCTCCTGTAATTTTTTTTTGGGGGTCGGTTGTGGGGCTTGAACTCTGGGCTTGGGCGCTGTCCCTGCGCTCTTCAGCTCAAGGTGAGCACTCTACCGCCTGAGCCACAGTACCACTTCTGGTTTTCTAGTGGTTTATTGGAGATAAGAGTCTCACGGACTTTCCTGCCCAGGCTGGCTTTGAACCGTGATCCTCAGAGCTCAGCCTCCTGGTAGCTAGGATTACAGGCGTGAGCCACTGGCACCTCCTGCAGTTTTAACTTAAGGTTTGTAAACTATAAAAGTGCACAACTGTAAAAATGTACACCTAGCTGGGCACCAGAAGCTTATACCTATAATCCTAACTACTCAGGAGGTTGAAATCTAAGGATTGCAGTTCAAAACCAGCCCAAGCAGAAAAGTTTGGGAGACTTTTATCTCCAATTACACACCAGAAAGACAAAAGTGGAGCTGTGCTTAAGTGGCCAAACACTAGCATTGAGTACAAAAGCTCAGGAACAGTCCCCAGGCTCTGAGTTTAAGAACAAAACCAAAAAAATACAAAACAAGGTAGGCACTGATGGCTCATGTCTGTAAGTCTAGCTACTCAGGAGGCTGAGATCTGAGTATTGTGGTTTGAAAGTAGAAAGTAGCTCAAGTGGTAGCACGTTAACCTTGAGCATAAAGAGGCTCAGGGACAGTGCCAGGTCCCTGAGTTCAAGCCCCAGACTGGTAAAATAAATAAATAAAAATAAAAAATAACAATATACACATATAGATATACCAATTCCTTAAAATAAATTACATTAACCTTATCATCAAATATTTCCTAAATGGGCTCAGAGTACATACAGATGTAATAGCTAACAATCTATTTATGAAATGCTGTCCAAGCCAATATGTAAGTTTTTAAAAAAATTATATTACATTGCTTTCTAGCCGCTTATACATGGAATAAGAAATAGAATTAATGCAATTTGCATTTTTTACAAAGATCACATCAGTGGTTCCAAAATATCTTATAGCACAACAATAATCACTTCAAAAATAGATAGACATGGGCTGGGAAGGTGGCTCAGTGGTAGAGCGCTTGCCTTGCATGCCTGAGGCCCTGGGTTCGATTCCTCAGTACCACATAAAAAAAAAAGCCGGAAGTGGCACTGTGGCTCAAGGGGTAGAGCGCTAGCCTTGAGCTGAAGAGCTGAGGGACAGCTCCCAGGCCCAGAGTTCAGGCCCCACGACTGGACCCAAAAAAAAAAAATTAGATAGACATTTTTGTCTGTGGTTAAAGTATCCATTCATTACTGCATGGAAAATAGTATAATGAGCAGTATCTGTGTAGGTAATTCTTGGAAGTCTTAAACACATCCTAGAAAAGCACTACTTTTTTCTCTTATCACACCCAGGCAGCTACTACTTGAAGAACCACCTTTACATATGATTACATCCTACCATCAGTTTGTGTTATTCAATACCCACCCCCCCACACGTGTGTTATAGAAATGGATGTCTATTGTGTTCTTTACCCAAGAGCAAAAATCTTTCCACAGTCATTTAAATCTTCTTATCAGTGCCTTACAAGCAATGTAAAAAACTAGGCTGTCATACATGCATGCTAATGGGGCCCACAGTGCTTTAGGACTTAGTGTCATCCAATATTAAAATTATTCATCACCACTAAGCAGCTGCTCCATGCTTGATCTTGACAAATGCAATAGGTTGCCATATTTTTAAGGTTCCACAAGTAATTAAACTCTGCTCACTGTACATCATGTTACATTGGAAAAAGATAGTATTTAAAGAAAAAACCCACAAAGATGAATGTTCTATTTTTCATGATCATCCAATTTTAGCTATGGTCTTTTTAAAGCTTGATGGCAAAAAAAAAAAAGAACCCAAACTACTATATGTGCCCTTTTTTTTTTTTGGTCGGTCATGGGGTTTGAACTTTGGGCCTAGGTACTGTCCATCAGCTCTTCAGCTCAAGGAGAGCACTCCACTACTTGAGCCACAGCGCCACTTCCAGTTTTCTGGTGGTTTATTGGAGATAATGAGTCTCATAGACTATCCTGCCCAGGCTGGCTTTGAACAATGATCCTTACATCTCAGCCTCCTATGTAGCTAGGATTACAGACGTGAGCCACTGGCGTCTGATTAAATTTTAAAATGATGGGAGTTAAAATTTCAGATGGACAAAAAAAGCAGGGAAACTAAAAAGTAAAAGCATGCACTGGGAACAGTAGGTCATGCTTGCCATCCCAGCTCTAGAGAAGGTGATCTGGAGGATTATTGTTTGAAACCAGTTCAGGCAAAAAGCAAGCAAAACCCCCATGTCAACCAATGAGCCAGGCATAATGGCTCTTGCCTGTGGTTTCAGTTATGTCACAGGCTGTAGGCAGGAGGATTATAGTCCAGGCTAGCCCAAGTAAATATGTGAGACTCAATCTGAAAACAGCCTAAAACAAAAAAAAGGCTGAAGATATGACTCAAGCGGCAGAGCACTGGAGTAGCAACTGTAAGGCCAAAAACCAAAACACAAAACAAGAAAAAAAAAGTAAAAGTATGAGGGAATAACCAAGGAATATAGAGTTACTTATTTCTTACTCTTGCTGTTTCTTTAAGATACTTCTTTCTCAATGATTAAATGCCATGTTAAAAATGTTCAACTCTCTTCTACCTGTTTCCATGCTGAGAATGACTTGTTTTTGAAGAAGCAGGCATCTCTTGAAAATCAGTGAATGAATCATCCAGGGATCCTGATTTAGAAGCATCTTGAAAATCTTGAAAGTCATCTTCTTCCGGTTTTCCCACCTAGATTTAGAGGCCATTTAAACAGAAAGCACAAACTTGATCTGATCAAATCTACAACTGTCAACCGCAAAGACTACCACATAAATTTCTCAATTTGGTTACAATTATGTAATTTTAGAACACTTTTTTTGTTGTTTGCAATGCCAGGGCTCAATCCCAAAGTGCTCCATCACTGAGCTACATCCTCAGCCCAGAAATTTTCTTTTCAACCTAACACTCAAATGTTTTGCATTTTCAAATATTCTCTAGCACAAATAGTAAAAAAAATTAGTTTAAGCAGCTAATCAACATATTTTAAAACATTCAATCACATTTACTGAGTTACTGAGAGTTTGCCATCTATAAGTAACAGTTGATGTATATTTAAAAATTATAAAAGTAACACAAGCTCCTTATAAGCCATTTCATATAAGTAAATACCAAGTCCATGATCTATTCTGTTCATTTGTTTTATATAACAAGTTTACAGGGCTGGGAAGGTGACTCAGTGGTAGAGTGCTTGCCTCACATGCATGAGGCCCTGGGGTCAATTCCTTAGCACCACATAAAAAGAAAAAGCTGGAAGTGGTGTTGTGGCTCAAGTGGTAGAGTGCTAGCCTTGAGCTGAAGAGCCCAGGCCTAGAATTCAAACCTGATGACTGACAACAAACAAACAAACAACAAAAACCCAAGCTTACATTACTCAGTTCTTTAAAAAAAATTGTAATTATAAACCCTAGTGTGATGAGGAAAGAAGATCATGAGTTTGAGGCCATCCTAGGCTATTTAGCAAAACTCTGTCTCTCCTTTTATGTTGGGCACTAGTGGCTCAGGTCATTAATCCAAGCTACTCAGGAGGCTGAGACAGGGAGAATCTCAATTTGAAACCAGCCTGGACAGAAAGGTCTCCATCTCTAATTAATCAGCAAAATGCCAGACTGGAGTTATAGCACAAATAGTAGAGCACCATCTCTGAGCAAGAAAGTCAAGTGAGAGTACAGTCCCTGAGTTCAAACCCCTGTAATGAGGGGAGAACTGTGCATACACACAAAAAGCAAAACCAAAAAAAAATTATTAACATTTAACTTAATTTTATTAAGCTTGAAGTTTAAAATATATATTCTATAAAGAACTATAAACCTTCACCCCAAACTCAAATATTTAATGCTTAAGAAATATCTTCATGTTTAAGTGATGAAAAACTAAATTTTGGGGCTGGGAAGGTGGCTCAGTGGTAGAGCACTTGCCTTGCATGCCTGAAGCCCTGGGTTCGATTCCTCAGCACCACATAAGAAAAAAGCCGGAAGTGGCGCTGTGGCTCAAGTGGTAGAGTGCTAGCCTTGAGCTGAAGAGCTGAGGGATAGCGCCCAGGCCCAGAGTTCAGGCCCCACGACCGGACCAAAAAATTTTACACTGTATTTTAATACTGATTAAGTTTTTATTTTTTATTTTCTACAGTTCTGGAAATAGAACCCAGAGCCTTGTGCATGAGCTATACTCTCAGCCCCAATGCTTAATTTAAGTTGAAGTCTCCATTATAATCTAGCAGAGTGAATCCTTGGAAGAAAAATTGTCCTGATGTATCCTTGGGGATTATTTAGAATACACCCGGCCTCTCTCTTTACCTGATTTGCTGGGTACGTTGGCATGAAGCCACTGGAAGCCGGTGCTGCAGCTCCACTCACTGGTCCAACAAGGTTAATGCCCATGACTGGCTGTCCAAGGTTAAGGGGCACAGAGCCTGCAGGAGCTGAAGGTATCACAGGAGGCTGACTCACTGGAGTAGGCAGAGGCATAGAAAAGCCACTCAGAGTTGGAATAGGGGCTGCTGGGAACTGATTTAAAGCATCAGGACTCATGGCAGGAACACCTCTCTATTATTGACAGGAAGAAAATGGAAACATTTTAGAAGATTGAAAAACACAGACAAAAATCTCATAGAGAGAGACCCAAACATTAAATCTGTAGCTTTCCTATTGTGTACACTCTAAATCTTTTACTGACTCCCAAATTCATGAATCTTATAGAGGAAAAAAGTAACAAGGCAAACATAATACACAGCAAAGAAATGGCCAACACACATAAATTCTGATCTATCTGTCAAACTAATTCATTATAATCAAATGATTTAGATTTGCTCTGAAAGAAAATTTACTATCAGACTGTGAATACTTTAAGGGATGGTGAAGAATGATTGAAAGGACACAGAGCAATTAGCTTTCAAGTTAAAGAGGAACATACCAAGGTTGGAGATAACATATACTAAAAAGTCTTTAAACAAAAGGATAATGTATTAGTATGTGTATTACAAAAATGCTTATTTCTGAAATACCATATCTTAAAAATGATCACAAAATTTTAATGTACAAAGAATTTTATGTGGTTGAAGTCAAATAAAAGTCATATTCTTTCAATTTATATGAAAAGTCATTTGGTGTAACTAAAGGTTTTTTTTTTTTACCTGTGTTACTGCTATCATGGCAAGAACAGTATAAAGTTCTTCTTTAGTAAGTTTGCCAGGTGTAGTTCGATTAGCTAAGGCCCATATCTGTCCAAGTGTTTCCCTGGGAAGTCCAGATGACATCAGAATGGGATAAAGTTTAGCAGTATCTATTCCAGTTGGAGTCATTGTGGTTTCAAAAATTTTCTTATAGGCATCTATTAAAAGAAAGACCAGATTATAAATGTAAATACATGTCCTGTGGTTTTTATTGTCATTGTTGATATACAAGAATAATCTTGGGTTGGGAAAGTGGCTCAGTGGTAGAGTGCTTGCCTTGCATGCATGAGGCCCTGGGTTCAATTCCTCAGCACCACATAAGCAGAAAAAGCCGGAAGTGGCCCTGTGGCTCAAGTGGTAGAGCACTAGCTTTGAGCTGAAGAGCTGAGGGACAGTACCCAGGCCCAGAGTTCAGGCTCCACGACTGGCAAAAAAAAAAAAAGAAAAATCTCAAATCAAACTAGTTTCATAGAACTGAAGCCACAACAGAGTATAAAATGTCATGGAGATTCAAGTGGAAATAATCCAGCAGACAATTAGAAGTCTGGAACCCATAACAGAGGTAAGAGCTTGATTCTAGAGAGGAAGATTTGGGGTTGAAGGTATGATAACATCTTAGAATTCAGGAGACATTATAACAATACTTTGTGTTTTATCTATTTTCTGGATACAAACAGTAATAGAAATAATAAGATGGGAGTGGAATAAGCAGAGGCTTGGACTTTATAAAGTTGTAAGAGCTTGAAAATTGCCATGGGCAACAAGTACTATACCAAGCAACTTTCTCCTGGCCCAATGAATAAAAAAGAGGCCGAGAGGGAAAATACCAAAGGAGGTGCTCCAGAACACAGGCTGCAAGGAAAGGCCTGCATGTAGTTGCTATAAGGAAGTTTAGTGTTTGCAAAAGGAGACAGTGATTTTTTTCCACAGTAGCTTGGTTCAAATGGACAAAGTTGGAAAAGCTGTTAGAGATAAAGTTACCAACAAAAAATTAAGAATGCTGGATAAACTTGTGCTGGTGCTTTAGAACTTACAATATTGAGCATGTTCTGCACCAGGGCTATTGTCTAATTTTAATCTACAAACATACCTGCTACCCAGAAGCAAGTATGAATTTAATCCATATTGGCTGTTGACCCCTTCTGAGGTTGTAGCATATGCTCTTAAATCAGTTTCAACTTTAAAGTATCTGCTTCATTCCTGAATAAGTAACATATGTACAAACCCCTTGAATTCCAGCAATATTTTAGAAAATACCTATTAAAACACAAGTTGTATTGTCAGGCATTGTCACTAGAGAACACACAACAATATTTGGTGCGTTGCAAGCTTGAAGATAGCTTAAACTTGAAATAGGTGGTCCATTAGTTGTACCTGATGGATGTAAATTTGCTTCCTAGTTCATTTTGTGTCAAGAGCTAAAACTGTTAACCTTTATTGTCAGGTAATAACAAAACAAAGATTTATTTTCATGCTCAAAAAAAGGATTAAGGATGCTAACATTGCATGTACATACTTACTCTCAATAGTTATTTGCTATTTATCTGAAATTCAAATTTCATATATGATTCTTAAATTTGGCAGGCCCAAAGAATTGTTTCAAATGAGAGACCAGGGCTCAAGGAGACAGAAAAAAGTTTAAAACAAGAAACAGAATGGGGAGTTTTAAGAAAACCAACTACTACTATGTACAATTGAAGTCTCATGTATTTTGGGGGAATAATTACCCTTTGTGATTGATTTACAACATGATTAGTTTCTTCTGAAAAGCAGTTCAGCTACAGAATTCATGCATTTAATTGAGTCAAATGTAGAACTTTAGTCTGATCAGTGGAGAAATCTGAAGATCTAATGAGTACTTTCTAGTTTTCAAAGTATTGGCAAAGCAGGGAAAACTAAAAAGGTACAATTTTATTAAGATTAACATATGCTGCTGTAATTGTCATTCTATGTAAATCAATCAAAGCTAGACTATTTCTATCAACTAAGCATTATCACAAAATACATTTTAATTTTTTTGGTTCAGCAATAATAATACACATGAAGAAAAAATGGGCTTCACAAGTACATAAAAAGATGGCACCCAGAATTTTATATATAGTACCAGATTTTATTGACTAGTACAACAGCCTGTAATCCCAGCTACTCAGGTGGTGGAAGATTGAGAAGACTGAGGTTCAAGGCCAAAGGACAAAGTCAGCAAGACCTATCTCAATGAACAAGGTGGACACAGTGGTATTATATCTGTTAACACCAGCTTCACAAGAGACATAGGTAGGAGGATAGAAGTCCAAGAGCAAAAATCTGAGACCCTATCTGAAAAATAACCTAAAACAAAGCAATAGACTACTTGCCTAGCAAATAAATCTAAGGCTCTAAGTTTAAATCCCTGGGCTGAAAAAACATTTCAGCCAGGTGTGGTGGCACATATACGATACCAGTTACTTGGCAGGTGGTGGTAGGAGGATCTCAAGTTTAAAGTCAGGCTGGGCAAAGTTAGCAAGATCCTATGTCAAAACTGAAAATAAAGTTCTAGTGGCATAGTTCAAGTGGTAGACTGCTTGCCTAGTAAGTGTGAGGTCTTGGAATCAGTCCCTAGCAATATAAAATATGATAAAATATTATTGTCCTTTTTATCACAATTGAAACACACACAATATAAAAGATCTTTGTGACCAGCTTTTAATTTTTATTTATTTTCTAGATAAGTTATCACCACACAATCCAGGCTGGCCTTGTATTCATGATTGTCCTACCTTAGCCCCTGGAATGCTGGGATTACAGAAATTCACTATCACATCTAGTTTAAGAAAGCTTTTACAAACAAAAGTATATGATGGTCAACAAAATATTAAAACAAAGCATTTCTCCAGCGTTTATATAGTTCAAAATCATTTTATTTACTCTTTCAGACAAAAAAAAAGTGCGACAATTCCTTCCTTTTGCATATTTTGTGACTGCAACAGTAAATACTTACAATCATAGCTATAGTATTTAAAGCAAAATAGGCAGATGGGAATCCTGGGCAAAACAAAACAAAACAAAAACCACTTTTGTTTACCTGGAACCAAATTCTCGTTGTAAATCCAAGGAGGCATTCTGGGCTGAACTGGATCCTGTGAGGGAAATACTCCCACACCTAGGAGATAACAACATTCAGTGGATATCATGGTCCATGGAGAAGATGGAGGGCTGGGGGTGGATGGTGAGAATCACACAGAGTCAAGCTTTATAATTTATAAAGACGAGCATTGGCTGGAGAGACTAGAGAAAAGTCACCAATACAACACAAGTATTTGGTTTCAAACAACTCTTGTACAGTAAGCACATCCACACGAGTAAATTAAATTGAGCTATCCCAAATCACTGTTCTGAATCATGTGAGGCTTGTACCATTTCATGTACATTACAAAGTGAAGGAAAAATTGTGATAACCAACTTAAAATTCTATATGTAAGAAATTTAATGGCCCAAATTTACTTGTAGACTTTAATATACATTTTTGCCAATCCAATTTTTTTTTTTTTTTTTTCAGTCATGGGCTTGAACTCAGGGCCTGGACTCTGTCCCTGAGCTCTTTTACTCAAGGCTAGTGCTCTACTACTTTGAGCCATAACATCACTTATGGATTTTGAGTGGTTGACTGGAGATAAGAGTCTCACAGGGACTTTTCTGTCCTGGCTGGCTTCGAACTGCGATCCTTAGATCTCAGCCTCCTGAGTAGCTAGGATTACAGGCATGAGCCACCAGTGCCCAGTCAATCCAATGCTTTTTAACCTGAATATTGCTCCTCCACCAGTAAAATATCCTCCAGAAGTTTGTCTCTTAAGACTACTTACATGCTAACTCATTTCTGAAATTTATAAAACTTGGATATGTGTCAGGCCATGTCTACCACTGTGCTATACTCCCACCCCAAATTTTATATATTATGTATGTGGTACTGGACACCAAACACAGGGCCTGGGCATGTTAGGTAAAGTCCTTTAGAACTGAACTATACCCCTAGCCTCCAAATTTGAATTTTATTTTTGGTGCCAGTCCTGGGGCTTGAACTCAGGGCCTGGGCACTGTCCCTGAGCTTCTTTTTGCTCAAGGTTAGTGTTCTGCCACTTGAGCCACAGCTCTACTTCCTGAAATTTGGATCTTTTTGGCTGCAATGTTTTGTTTCCTGGTTGTTTTTTAGGGCAGGTACTGGGTCTTACTATGTAGCCCAGGATGGCCTATAAATCCATAATCCTCCTGCCTCTAGCATTGAATGCTGTGACTACAGATGTGTGCCACTGCACCCAGCTATGATTTTGGAGAAAGAAAAGTTATATTATCATTGGTGACTTTTCCAGTTATCTTTTAACTTTCCTGGAAGAACAAAGTGGGGGGGGGGGGAAGCTAGCTTTTATAAAAGGAAAGTAAATGTAAGTCAGGAATGATTCTGATTAAGAAAATTCATTATCAAAATCATGTTTTGAAAAGGAATATATAGTGTGTTGAAAGGACTCAGAGCAAAACTTTAGGGGTTAATTGGAGAAAGGACTGTATTAAATATATTTTAAGCAAAAACTTTAAGCAGCAAAATCAAGCAGCATTTATTTTCAGATTAAGGCTTAAAATGTTAGCATTTGAGCGGCATTTGGTTAAACATTTTTTTCTCAATGTTTCTTGAGCTCACCACTCTCTTCAATGGACCGTGTTAGGTCTGAAGTCTTTTCTGCCTCTGCAGGGGTGGTACCATTTACACATCCATCTACAGCAACCCCGTTACTGGCCGTTAAACTGAGACAGTTCTTACTGGAACCTGGGTCTAAGGCTTTGTGCCCAACTTCAGAAGTACTTAATTTAACTTGTTCCTGCCCAGATGTATTGATAGCACAAGACACTAGGAGCTTCTCCTCCAAGGAAGGGCCTAAACAAACAGCATGAAGGGTTATTGGTATATAACTACATATTTCCAATCATTTCAATCATCCCTTTCCACCCTCACATTCTAAAGGGATGGCCCTACATGTGTAATAGACTTGGAGTAACTAATTTGGAGACTTGGAGACTTGAGGGATATGGGAGAAGGAACATAAATGTCACTATCTTGTGACTGTCAAGAATTCGGTAAGTTACTGGGGAGAACAGTACACGCTGCTTCAGAAATGCGGAAACTGACATTTAGAGGTGGCCTCACTTCTGGGTCAATTTCTATATCTGTTAAATGAAAAGGCATGCATTAAGGTCCCCCAGCACAATAAGTGTCTCAAGACAGGGGTAGCATTGTTTCGTAGAGAATAAAAAGTAGAACACAGAATGTTTACAGACTTTTCAAGGACAGCTGATAAGAAAGGAACATTCATGCCTTTTCTACCACCAAGAGTCACTCAGCCAGAAAGAAGCCTTTCTTTCTCCTTTTTCTTTCCTGATTTTGGGTTTGTTGAGGAGGACTCACTGTGCAGACCAGGCTTTTAGCATTCTTGTCTCAGCCTTCCCTAGTGCTAGATTACAGGTGTGCACTCCCATGCTTGGCTTTGAAAGAGCACTTTTTAAAGGAGCTTTCCTAAACTCACTCACTATTCTTACAAAAATGATATTGGTGGGTTTTTTTCCAAACAAAATAATGGTTTCTAGTTTAGTAGCACAAAGTTAAATCATTTTTTTTGGCATGTGCAGGCCCTAAACTTAAAATTTTTGACCCTCTTCATACATTTGTGTTCATACTTCTTTGCTGACCTTACTGTGTTATTCTACTTATGTAACAGATTATCCTAGGATATCTTAAGATGTTTTCATTAATAATAGGACAAGTTACCTGCTTTCTGCATAATGTGTGAAGCTGAAGCAGTGGCGTAATAGGGAATTTGCCCAGGGACACCATGTAAGGCAACAGACACTGGAATCTGAGTTGGAGGGGGAGGCTGTACTCCAGCCTTCTGTGATTGCAACTGGCCAAGTGGGGTGGTGGTATGGAAAGATTGAAAGGGCTGGGCTGTGGAAGGTGGCCCACAGATGGGAACTTCCACAGGGCCCTGCATAAAGTCACTGAATTCATCTTCATCAAGAAAGGCGGATGGTGGGGAGACAGTTTTAGTAGGATGAGATGATGTGGGACAATCTGCAAAATGGAAAATGGCAATGAAACACACAGAAATGAAAATCAACACAGAAATAGAAATTATGATGCAGTACCATTCCAAAGAGACACACTGACATGAATAGTGGAAGTGAACAGTAACAAGGGTCAGGTGGAATTATATAATGCATCCAAATGATGCTGATGTCTGTTTATATACAATTTTACATCATTAATAAAAATGATAGCTATTTTACATTTGGTTTAAAAAAATTAACTCAAAATTTCCTTCTTTTTATTAGGTTAGTTCTCATTTCTTTTCCTGAGACCACCAATAAGTTCACACTAAAGTGGTAATTATTTTTTAAATCCAAATGATTCATCTGCATATTTCCTCAAATTTACATATATCAGATATGAGAAAACTTAGTTGTATGCTGTTCAATACATTTTGGACAGACATATTCTCTGCTTAATTTTATTATTTAGTAAGAAATAATATACAACACAAATATGTAATTTCTTTTATATCATGTCTGATCCACTTACTTTGGAGATCACATTTTAAAAAGTTACCATATGAGGAATTAATATTACATATTCATATTAAATACACAATTAAAGAGATTTTTGTGTTTGTTTTTGTTGGTTCATGGGGCTTGAACTCAGGACTGGGGTGTTATTGCTAAGCTTTTTCATTCAAGGCTAGTGCTCAACCACTTTCAGCCACAGCTCCACTTCTTTTTTTTTTTTTTTTCCGGTCATAGGGTCTGAACTCTGGGCCTGGGCGCTGTCCCTCAGCTCTTCAGCTCAAGGCTAGCGCTCTATCACTTGCGCCACAGCGCCACTTCCGGCTTTTTCTGTTTATGTGGTGTGAGGAATCGAACCCAGGGCCTCATGCTTGCAAGGCATGCACTCTACCGCTGAGCTACCTTCCCAGCCCCCACAGCTCCACTTCTGTTTTTATTTTTGTTGTTGTTTTTGCCAGTTGTGGGGTTTGAACTCTGGGCCTGGAAGCTGTCCCTGAGCTCTTCATCTCAAGGCTAGTGCTCTACCAGTTGAGCCACAGCACCACTTCTGGCTTTTTTTGTTTATGTGGTGCTAAGGAATTGAACCCAGGGCCACATGCATGTGAGGTAGGCACTCTGCCATCTTCCCAGCCCTCCACTACTGATTTGATGGTGGTTAATTGGAATAAAAAGTCTCAAGGATTTTCCTACCTGGGCTAGCTTTGAACCATAATCTTCAGATCTCAGCCTCCTGAATAGCTTGGATTATAGGCATGAGACACTGATGCCCAGCCAAAGTGATGTTTTCTTATGAAAAGTACCCAAACTGGGATATCACAGTGTGCTCAATAAAACAACTCATTTTATTTTTATTTTACTTCTTTGTTGGTTGTGGGGCTTGAACTCAGGCGTTGTCCCTGATCTCTTTTGCTCAAGGCTGGCACTCTACCACTTTGAGCCACATCATCACTTCCAGTTTTCTGGTGGTTAATTAGAGGTAAGAAGCTCATGGACTTTACTGCCTGGGCTGGCTTTGAACTATGATCCTCAGATCTCAGTCTCCTGACGAGCTAGGATTACAGGTGTGAGCCACATGCACCTGGCAATAAAACAACTCATTTTAAGAAAGTATATCTTGACTGACAACTGCATTTAAAAGATTACTCTAGCTTTTATTGTGAAATGTAAGATTCACTCATGTATAAATCTACTCTACAGGAGCTACATTTAGAATGAAGCTAATAAATAATACTATTTTATTGTTGCTTCTTCCCTTTTAGTTACCACGAATAGTTTTAAATCCATTAAAGTGTCATTTGAAAAAGGATACTACATGCTTAGTATACCTCTCTTTAGGATCGATAAAATCTGTAAGCAAAGTTCTATGAAAAATGCAAATTGAATATGCAAAAATTACTATTGTAATTAACAATGGCTACTAAGAGCATGTTGGTTTACATCCTTGATGAGTTTTTAGCAACTTGGAATCTATATCTATATAGATATACATTTTTTTGGTCTTGGAACTCAGGGCCTGGGCACTGTCCTTGAGCCTCTCTGTGCTCAAGGCTAGTGCTCTACTACTTGAGCCACAGGACCACTTCTGGCTTTTTCTGTTTATGTGGTACTGAGGAATCTAACCCAAGGCTTCATGCATGCTAGGCAAGCACTTTACTGCTAAGCCACATTCCCAGCCCCAGCAACTTGGAATATCTCTCTCTCTCTTTTTTTTTTTGGTCGGTCATGGGGCTTGAACTCTGGGTCTAAACGCTGTCCCTCAGCTCTTCAGCTCAACACAAGTGCTCTACCACTTGAGCCACAGCGCCACTTCCAGTTTTCTGGTAGTTTGTTGGAGATAAAGAATCTCACAGACTTTTCCTGCCCGTGCTGGCTTTGAACTCTGATCCTCAGATCTCAGCCTCCTGAGTGGCTAGGATTACAGGTGTGAGCCACCAGTGCCCAGCTTAGTAATATTTTTCAAATGTACTTTGGCATCTATAACTAACAGCTTCCAAGACTAAACCAGTGGTTTTTGTATGTGGCTGAAATTACATCTATAATGGTATATACTTTGACTCACAATATTAATATTGAAACTGTTATATTGCATATTTTAGAATTTAAAAAAAGTCTGGTGGAGAAATTTACAAAATGCCTTTGGTGATAAAAATATTACAAATTGATACCCTTCAGTCCTAAGTTTATGACTGTAATTTGACTGGGATCAAATTAGGCTTGCTTCTGAACAATCTTTTTCTTGCTCAGCATGTAGTGGTTAACTAGAAATTTTCTTTTTGTGTGTGTGGGGGTCCTGAGGTTTGAACTCAGGATCTTGGCATTGTCCCTGAGCTTTTTTGCTCAAGACTGAAGCCCTACTGATTGAACGATACCTCTACTTTCTACTTTTTGTTGGTTAACTGGAGATATGAGTTTCATGGACTTTCCTATTCAGCCTGGCTTTGAACTCAGCCTCCTGAGTAGCTAGAATTACAGGATTGAGCATGTATTGAGACATTGGCTTAGTATAAGTATGCAGATTGAATTCCAGAGATTTGAACATCAAAACAACAATTTGTAGCCTTACAATAAGTTTTCTTCATTGAACAGCTCCTGTTCACCTACATCTGAATGCAAAAAAGAAATTCTTGGGCTGGGAGGTTGGCTCAGTGTTAAAGTGCTTGCCTTGCATGCATGAGGCCCTGGGTTTGATTCCTTAGCACCACATAAGCAGAAAAACGCTGGAAGTGGCACTGTGGCTCAAGTGGTAGGGTGCTAGCCTTGAGCTGAAGAGCTGAGGGACAGTGCTCAGTCCCAGAGTTCAGCCCCCACGACTGACACACATAAAAAAATTCTTCACAGATAGAAGAGTGACTTAAAATGACCATACTCTTGACCTTCTTCTTCCTTTTCTAGGTGTGGTACCAAGTCCACATTTAGTATTAATTTCCAATGTTTACTCTTGTAAAAAACTTTTTTTCCCTGCTGAGCCAAAATCACTTAACTCTTATTATTCGGTTTACAATTTTCATTTTTAGATGTTTTTTTCTTTCTGATCTCAGTAATTGCTGATATTTATTCTTCACTGAATATATACTTTAGGGCATATTTTTGGATTGGGCATTTTAGTATGTAATCTAACTGGTGAAATTAATAGGCCAGAATCAAAACTAGCCCAGAGAATCAAAACTAGCCCAGAAAATCAAGAATTGGTAATAACACTGATGCAAGATTATTTTCATATATATATATATATATACATATATATACATATATGTATATATATATATATAAAATTAAAATATACGAAGTGGTGCTGTGGCTCAAGCGGTAGAGCGCTCGCCTTGAGCTGAAGAGCACAGGGACCCCAAGCCCAGAGTTCAAGCCCCACGACCGACAAAAAAAAAAACAAAAACAACCAAAATTAAAATACAATGGCTTAAAGTAAAATGTTTTGATATAATATTTTTCAGTAGAAGACAGTACTTCTTGTTTGGCTGGATGATTTTATGAAAACCATATACCTATTAATGCTGTCATTGTTGAAATTAGCTGATAATAAATGCCAGGATATTGAATTTTTAAAAGGATATAACAATTATGCAAGTCAAAATAATTAAAACCCCCAAGAGGCTGATGAGTACACTGTATACATGTTTTCCTCCCCTTGCATAACTAATGTATACTCATAAGTAAACCACAAGCCCTTTACTATGCGATGTACCTTTTTTCTTACCTGATGATAAAAACTACAAAAGTTTATTAAAGAAACTTTTATGAGAGCATTATTGAACTCATCATTTCCCCCCCAAAAAAGAAAAAAAGGGGGCATTTTAAGAATATGTAATTTTTTTTTATCACATTCAATAATAAAATATGAACTACCTCATAAAAGGTAAGATTTTAAAACAATAAGGGTAAAGAAGTAAATGTTTTACATTTGCTTTGATTCAACAGATTTTACTAATGTTAACATCCTCATTTACATATAGATTTACAAAGGAAGTAGCAGACAAAAGATTATCCCTTCTAAGAGAAGTTATCTAGGTCAGATCCCTCTGGTGCAGTGCTGGCTGCTTTCTAGGCAGGCACTTACCCTAATGAGCCACACTCCTGCCATTAGGTCAGATCCTTTAAATTTTAAAACATCCAAATATATTCTTAGGTTGAAGGAAAAGTTCTTCAACCATGTATTAGTCAATTAAACATACAAGAACTGTCAGTCAATTAAACATACAAGGATTCTAAGTCACCTTCTAAGAAAAAAAAATTTTCATGTCTCTTAAAACTACCTGATTTCTTAGGGTGTGATACTGGAGTAGGGTGCATCTTTGCGTCTCTGGAAAATCCATCTAAGTTTCCTTTTATGGCCTCCAAAGCATCATCTCTACTCTTCTCTCCTGTCTAAGAGAAAACAAATGTATGTATATTTCATCACTCACCTCTCGCTTGCTCTTCACCCTCCCCAATTGAAAGCATAGTTATTAATGTATTTCTTTCCTTTTCCTTTCCCTCCCTCTCTTTTCTTCTTTTTTCTTTCCTTTCTTTCTTTCTTTCTTCCTTTCTCTCTCTCTCTCTCTCTCTTCTTTGCTTTCTTGCTTTCTGTTGTAGGTTTTGAACTCAGAGCTGGGCACTGTCCTGAACTCTTTCTGCTCAAAGCTAGTGTTCTACCACTTTAGTCACAGCTCTACCTCCAGTTTTCTGGTGGTTAATTGGAGACAAGAGGCTCACAGACTTTTTTGTCTACGCTGGCTCTGAACCATGATCCTCATACATACCTCAGCTAGGAGTACAGGTGTGAGTTACCAGCACTCAATTATATAAACTGCTTCTAATAGATACTTCTAATAGTTTTCTGACCATATATTTCTGAGAACAATTTCTCCAAGTCAGAAAGTCATTGATAAGTATATAAAATGAAGGCACAGAATAAGATTCGACTATAAAAATATTAAAAGGCTCACCCATAATTACTTCAGGATATGGCCGCTTTATAGTAAACATTCCATAAGTGACTTACAGAAATCCATTTCTAGCACTACATTTAAGATTAGTGCTTTCCAAGAAAAAAAATTATTAACGCCACCATGTCACTAAAAAATGAGTTGAGAAGACAATGATTAATCTCTCATTCTTATCAAAAACAGAGGTTGTTACAGAAACATCCCTCATTTTAGAACTCAGATAAAGGAAAAAGAAAGGGATCCATCACAGCCTGGTTTGGCTGGTGCTGCAGTGATAAAAACCAGTGAATGAGGAGGTGCAGGTACATTCAGGGGCTATATGTTTTGGGAGAGAGGAGATAAGAAATACATTACCTTGGGTTTCACACTACTTAGAAGTCTGAGCTTTTGCTTTTGTTCTTCAAACTGGCGTCTTTTTCTTTCTTCCTCTAAGAGTTTTTGCTGCTGTTCAAATCGTTTCCTGCAGAAAAACCAATGTAATAAATCCAGCTTCAAGAAATAACTGTCATAGAGTTCTACTAAGTTTCAGCAGTATCATCCTGCATTCTAGAATTATAGTCTTCATTCCTAATTATATCTTTCATGGCAAGTTCTTTCTATTCTAAAATACTTGAAATCTAAATAATGATTCACTTAAATTATATATATATATATATATATATATATATATATGTATGTATGTATGTATGTATGTATGTCTGTGTGTGTGCATATATATATATTTTTTTGACAATCTTCTTGGGGTAGAAGAGGGTACTAAGGTTTAAACCAGGGCCTCTTACATGCTATGCAAGCAGTCTGCCATTGAGCTATCTATATCCCAACTCTAGAGGAAACATTTTGCATAGAAAAATTAAAGAAGAACAAAAACAAAGAAGGCAGAAAAACATGCACTCTTTGCGTACAAAAAGAAACTTGAGGGTTAAGATGATAGCTCAGAAATAGGGAACTAGCCTAACATTCATGAGGTCCTCGCTTCAATCTCCAGTACCACCAAAGCAAACCAAAGAATGAACCCAAACAAAGAGGGTAACAACCACCAAACATTTTTAGGTCTACATGTAATAGCATATGCCTGTAATCCCAGCACTTGGGAGACTAAGGTAAGAGGATACCACTTTCAAGGTCAGTCTGAGTTGTATCTCGAGTAAATAAAAGTAACAGAAATTTCCTTGGGAAGGTAGTATGTACATAAGAGCAATATTCTGAGAATCAGGGTGCCTGCAAATGTGTCGGTAAACCTCCTGCCTTCACCTCTCCAGGTACTGGGATTATAGGAGCATATCACTACATCACTACTCTAACTTCTAATACAAATATTTTAAAGAGCCCTGTCTCAAAACCAAGTATTTTGAAGAGTTCTACAGGCAATTTGAGTATTTCAGCTTCAAATGTGCACTACAGAGTATTTGTCTATCTATAAAATGGCTTTTATATATATCTCGGTTATCCTTGAGTTATAGAATTCTCTTACTGTTGCTCTTCTGCAAATTGCTTCTGCATGTCTGGAGTATATTGTGGGCCTGGAGGACGCATTCCCAGGAATGGTGCTTGTCCCAGGTAAGGCATTCCAGCAGCTGGCATTGGGCCCATTGGTATTCCTGCCTGCAAAAAACAAAGGAGGAAAATTTTTCTTCCCAATGATTACAAAGAAAAAGTAAATCACATAATAAGCTCTTAATATTTTTATTAGTAAGCCATATAGCACAGCATAATAATAGAAGATTCAAAGAACATAGTCTAGAATGGAAAGCTCTCCATTCTCTGCAGTGCATTAAAGCTGATCACTACTAAAGGTGCAAGAGGAAGCAGAGTTTATAGAATCCTTTAGCTAGGTTTGAAATACAAACACAGGAATATTCTTTCGAACTCACTAATTTTCACATCTTGGAAAAGGTTAGCATGTCTTATATATTTTTGTAATTTCAGCTATAGAATAATGCTGAATTTAAAGAAATGGAAGTCTCTCACCAAGTACCAGGTACCAGAGGTCAGACAAGATGCGGCACATCTACAGCGGTATGGCCAAAGGCATAACTCATATTTTCAGGAAATTTTGGGACATAGTACTGGGGTTTGAACTAAGGGCCTCAAGCTTGCTAGGCAGGTCCTCTACCACTTTAGACACACATCAGCCATTTTAGCTTTATTTATTTATTTTGGATAGAGTCTTATATTTTGGCATAGGGTTGGCTATGGATCACTATCTCCCACATAGCGGGATTAGATAGGATTTACCATGGCTGGTTTATTTGTTGAGGGGTCTTGATAATATTTTGCCTGGCCAGTCTCAAATTGTGATCCTCCTGATATCTGCCCTCTTCAGTACCTGGAGTTACAGGTGTGAGCCACCATGCCCCCACTAGTTTAAAAATCCTTAGAGCATTTGCCTAGCATGTGTGGAGCCCTAGGTTCAATCTCCTGAACAACAAAAAAAGGAAAGAAAGGAAAGGAAGAGAAAGAAAAAAAGAATGAAAAAAGAAATTGTGGCAAATGCCTATAGTTCCAGCTATTTGGGAGGCTAAAGGAGAATCATGTGAACACATACATTCAAAGTAGAACCCTCATCTGAAAAAAAAAAAAAGCCAGGTATTGGTGGCTCACAAGGCTGAGATTTGAGAATCACAATTCAAAGCCAGCCCAGGCAGTAAAGTCCATGAGATTCATCTCCAATTAACCACTAGAAAACTGGAAGTGGCACTGGTGGCTCAAAAGTGGCAGAGCACTAGCTTTGAACAAAAGCGCTCAGGGATAGCACTCAGGCTCTAAGCTCAAGCCCCATGGCTGACAAGAAAAGAAAAAAAAATCACATCTCAAAATATAACATTAAACGTTTAAGAACACAGTTGTTGGTATGCAGACCTCTAGTGATAAACAGTAACTTCATAAACAATAAACAAGTACCTGCATAGCAATGGGTCCTTGGGACATTTGAGAGCCATAATTCATTCCCATCATGCCTTGCATATTAGGCTGCATGACAGAGACCATAGGAAATCCTTGTTGCTGCATTGGCATGAGGCCTGTTAAAAAACATCAAGACATTGTTAAAGTAGCATGTTTTAAAGTTTATTTTTTTTTTATTTTCTCACCTCAGATCATAAAGTTTATTTTCTTAAAACCATAAGTACAGCTGGGTGTTGGTGGCTCATGCCTATAATCCTAGCTACTCAGGAAACTGAGATCTGAGGATCTCAGTTCATAGCCAGCCCAGGCAGGAAATTCCGTGAGGCTCTTATCTCCAATTAACTAGCACAAAGCTGGAAATGGAGCTGTGGCTCAAATGGCAGATCACCAGGCTTGGTGAAGGAGAGAAGGGATAGTGCCCAGGCTCTGAGTTCTCATGTCTTCCTTAAGCCTTGTGAGAGGCCTTGAGCCATAATCAACTTAGCAAAACTACTTACAGACACGTTACAGGTTACAAAATACTAAAATGTTTAGTTTTTAAAGTTTGGGGATAATTTGTTATGCGGCAGCAGGTAACTGATAACAGTTAAAGAGCATGAATTCTGGGAGCCAATTAGAAGTACCACTTACTAGCTTTGGTTTTTCATAACTTCTTTCTGTATCTTGGCTTCTCATCTGTAAAACTGCTTAATGCTTATTATATAAAAAATAGTTCTTCTTCCTCCTTATGTGAATAGTGAATGTAACATTTATCACAAACACAGTCACTGGCATGCAAAGTATATAATTAAATGAAAGGGAAACTTTTGTTTTCCTATATCTCTTCCAACTATCCCCAGGATCAGAGGACAATGAATATACATATGATGCATTTGGGGATTTAATAAATAGTAAAATATGGCTTGGTGACACCAAATTAAAAACCCTTATATAGCTTGAAGTTAACTTTCATTCTAATATTGCATTTTATTATATCATCTTAAGCTCATATTGGTTTGACTAGAAGATTTTTTTTTTTTAATTTGCCAATCGTGGGGCTTGAACTCTGGGCCTGGGTACTGTCCCTGGGCTTTTTATTCAAGGCTAGCATTCTACCACTTGAGCCACTGTGCTACTTCTGGCTTTTTTTGTGATTTATTGGAGATGAGAGTCTCATGGACTTTGCTGCCTGGGCTGGCTTCAAACTGAGATCCTCAGATTTTAGGCTCCTTAGTAGCCAGTATTACAGGTATACATGACTGGTGCCCAGCTTTGCTACAAGTTTTTTGTTGGTTTGTTTGTTTGCATTACTGGGGATTGAACTCAGGACCTGATGCTTACTAGGAAAGTACTCTACCACTTAAGTCACACCCCCTAGTCCAGTTTTTTTAAAAATTTCATGTATTTTTATTATAAAGGTGATATACAGAGGGATTATAAGGCATGTAATGAATTCCTTTCATACACTGTCTTCTGTCCCCGCATTCATTCCCAGTTCCTCCCTCCCAATCTCTACCCATGAGCTGTATAGTTCACTTTCATCCAAGTCTGGTGAGTTTCACTACTGTACTTTTTTATACCCCTTTTCTCTTGAGTTCTGTACCTCTACCTTCTTGGAAGATATACATCTGAATACACCATACATAAAGAAAAGAAGAGAGATCTCATTTACATCAGTTTTTCTTTTCTTCCTTTTTTCTTTTTCTTTTTTTTCTGGTCCTGGGGCTTGAACTCTGAGCCTGGGCACTAACCCTGAGCTTCTTTTTGCTTAAGGCAAACACTCTAACACTTGAGCTACAGAAACACTTCTGGGCCGGGCGCTGGTGGCTCACGCCTGTAATCCTAGCTACTCAGGAGGCTGAGATCTGAGGATCGCGGTTCAAAGCCATTCCGGGCAGGAGAGACCATGAGACTCCTATCTCCAATAAACCACCAGAAAACTGGAAGTGGCACTGTAGCTCAAGTGGTAGAGCGCTCGCCTTGAGCTGAAGAGCTGAGGGACAACGCCCAGGCCCAGAGTTCAAGCCCCACGACCGACAAAAAAAAAAAAGAAAAAAAAAAAGAAACACTTCTGGCTTTTTTGAGTTTATTGGAGATAAGATTCTCACGGAATTTCTTGTCCAGGCTGGCTTTGAACTGTGATTCTCAGATCTCAGCCTCCTGAGTAGCCAGGATTACAGGCGTGAGCCACAGCGCTCAGCTCAGTTTTACCTTTTTTTTTTTGGTTGGTCGTGGGGCTGGAACTCTGGGCCTGAGCTCTGTCTCTGAGCTCTGCAGCTCAAGGCACGCGTTCTACCACCTGAGCCATAGCATCACTTGCAGTTTTCTGGTGATTAAATGGAGATAAGGGTCTCACAGACTTTGTTGTCCTGGTTGGCTTTAAAGTGTTATCCTCAGATCCTCCTGTGTAGCTAGGATTACAGGCATGAACAACCAGCGCCCGGCTACAGTTTTACTTTTTTAAACCAAAATTTCAGTATAAAAGGTAAAGGTCATTTGAGCATCATTGGCTCATACCTATAATCCTAGTTACTTAGGAGTCTAAGAGATGAAGCTTGTGGTTTGAAGCCTGACTTGGCAGAAAAATCCAAAAGACTCAATCTCCAATTAACCAGTCAAAAAGCTGGACTGGAGGTATGGCTCAAGTAGTAGAGCACCAGCTTTGAACAAGAAAGCTGAGTGAGAACATACGGTCCTGAGTACAAGCCCCTGTATTGGCACACACAAAGAAAAGTTTAAAAATTAAAAAATAAAGGTCTAGAAAAGTATATATTTTGTAGTTTCTGTTACTTCCCAAATTAATTATATCTAGCTTAATTTCAGAAGCATGGACATTTACATTTCTAGGTAACGACTCTTAAGAGGCAGGGCAGCCATTTATTCATTCAATCATTTATTCAAGTATTTGAGGACCTATTCCATGTTAGGAAACACAACAATGAACAAAACCAGGTCTTTCCTCTCATGGAATTTATACTGTAATACATGCAGGTACTGTATAGACAGGGCAAAAACTGAAGCAGGATAATGGGGAAGAGGAGAGTCAAAGTGTGGAGCAGCTGCTTTTTTTGGTAAGACAGATTCACAAAACTTTTGCCAAAAAAAACCTCACAAACTTTTGCCAACATTTGGTCAAAGACCTGAAGGAAGTAAGGGAGCAAGCCACCCAGATATCTGAATAGTATTTCAGACAAAGGAATCTCAAATGCAAAGAGCATGAAGTACAATGGTAAATTAGACTGAAGAGATTAAATAAAGCCATGGTGAAATGTTCTCCCTCTTACTCTTTGGATTTAAACTTTTTTTTTATTAAAATAATAAAATAGTAGCTTGAACTACAGGTGTGAGCTACCAGTACATAGCTATTTTATCATTATTATTTTAGTTCTGGATGGGCAACTCAGGTTTGTGGCTTAACTTTGGTAAGCACTAAAGTATAAATGGAAAAAAGAATTTTCTATCCTATCTCTTGTTTAAGTACTTGTGACCTTGTGGCCACTTCTGCTGTTGTTTTCTTGTATATGCTTTTAGAAATGATCTATACATAAAGTCTTAAATGATCAAGAAGTCATTCTAGTATAATTTATTTTAAAACCTTTCACAACAATTCTAAATTGATGAAGAAAAAAAATATATCAGGCATCCTTTAGGATCTTTTCTTCTTCAGTTTCCTTCCTCCCTATGTAGGTTTTTATGTGATAGGTTTTTATGTGAAAGTTTATAAAAATGCAAAAGAAAAAAAGACCACATATGATAATAAGCAAATAAGTCTGTAATACTTTCTGAAGGAACAAAGATCTCAAGCTACTTGATCTAAATATGGGACACATTTAATGACAGATAGCTTAAATAATATATAAATGTGAACACAATGAAAAGAATACAACTGACCTTTGGAAAAAAATTTCCCTGAAACTCAACCTTCATCATTGATTACAAATGGCTACAAGAGAACTACTGATCACCTCCCGAGTGATTCTTTATCTTTCATCTCTGTTGGTAACCTTGGAGTCTCTGTTTCTCCAGCACATATACCATAACCACTCAACACTGGCTTGGAGAAAAGCACCACTTTTCAGAAACAACTTGGCACCTGAGGTGGGTGGAGGGAATATGCTGGAATAAAAGAAGTGAGCAGAAAGAAGCAGAAGGACAGACATAGTGCTCCTCCAATGCTGGGTTCCAAGCAGCATGGGTCTAGATAACATTCTTGACTACTAACTTCTTAAAGACAGAGCCAGAATTGATATTGGTGAGTCTTAGCTCTCTTTCTTTTCTCTTTCTTTCTTCCTTTCTTACTTCTTTCTTTTTTGCTGGTCCTGGGGCTTGAACTCAAGGACTAGGAATTATCCCTGAGCTTTGGTGCTAAAGGATAGTGCTCTACTACTTGAGCTACAGTGCCACTTCCATCTTTTTTTCTGAGTAGTTTATTGGAGTCTCACGGACTCTACTGCCCAGACTGGAACCCACAATCCTCAGATCCCAGCAGAGTCCCAGCACTGAAGTAACAAAATAAAACATCCTTACAGTTTCACATACCTTGAGGCGGTCTTATTCCACCTGAAACAGGAAACATGAAGCTGAAAACAGAAGTAAAAATACATGATGATCTTATGTACCAATACTTCAAACAAAACATGTTTGTTTGTTTTTTTATTTTGAAACAGGTTCTTGTTATATAGCCTAGGAAAGCCTCAAACTTAATACATAGTCAAGGCTGGCCTTGAACTCATGATCCTCCTGTCTCTACCTTTCCAGTGATAGGATTACAGGCAAGCATCACTACATCCAACATGTAATTCATTAAATAAATGAAAGAATTGTGGACTGGGGCTAGTGTTTGAACTCAGGGGCCTGTGCTCACTCACTCAGACTTTTTCATTCATAGGTGGTGCTCTACTACTTAAGCTACACCTCCAGCACAGATTTTTGCAGTTTAATTGGAGATGAAGGTTTTTGGACTTTTCTGGCGGGCTTCAACTGTTGATCCTCAAGATCTCAGCCTCCTGAACAGCTAGGATTACTGGTATAAGCTACTGGTGCCTAGGATTTTTGTTTTGTTTTAAATCCATATTTACATGTATTAAAAGTTCAGTCCTCTTCATGACTAATACTGCATTGTATGGCCGGTCTTGAACTCAATGAACTTTCTGAACTCAAATCGTCTTCTGCCTCATGGATAGCTAAGGCTACACCTGCTAACTATATCAGAGTTTGTTGGGGTTTTTTGGTGGGGGAGCACTATGGGAATTTGAATTCTGGAGGTTCACAGTTGTTAGTCAAAGGCTCTATCACTTAAGCCATTCCCCTAGCCCTTTTTGCTTTTTAGGCTGTTTTTTTGTTTGTTTTTTTTGTAGAATCTCAGGCTTTTTCTCAGCTGGCCTTGGATTTGGATCCTATGCCTACAGGCTACCAAGGATTGAAGGCACTGTTATACCTGGCTTGTTTGTCACAGTTCCAACTAAGACAACTATAAAGACAACACTACATCTTAGAAATGTATACAGGCAACTCACAAAAATAGTCTATGGAGGGATAGAACCCTTGCCAAACAAGCTTAAGTTCCTGAATTCAATTCCTAGCATCATTTAAAAAACAACACAAACAAAACCAAAATTAAGTCACACTAAACATGACTTACTCTAGTTAAAACTTGGCAAGCCAACTGCCTACTGATTTATGTACTATTTGCATGCTCTATGAAATACTTAGTATCAACGTGCTTAAAGACTGGCTAGTCAGCAGCTAACTACAACACTGATAAGACAGCAAAAGTTCACAACAAATGGGCAGGAATAAAATGATTTGATCTCAAAGGTAAAAACATTAAAGGTAAAAGCACTAAAATCTCCATGTGAAAGCATACCTGTGAACTCTACTTGTGACATTATTTGCCTCTTCATCCTTCCTTTTCAGTTATCTTTGCTACTAACCTAGATTTTCTACTAGCCTTCACTTCTCAGGCCTGAATTCCTAAAGACACTAAGGCCTGAGAAATAACTTGTTTCATGACAGGACAGACATGTTTCTTGTACATGTCTCCTCCACTACTTACAGGTTATTGCCTGCATTGATAATTGTGTATGCCCTACAACTGATGTTATGTATATCCAAATAGCCTTAGGCAGGAAAAAAAAAGTTCTTCATCCCTATATAGATCTCTCTACCTTCAGACTCTGTGGTTTCTAGTTCATCTAATACAAAAAGTGAGGTATATCTTCCTTCATAACAGTAAGGACCACTTAATAATCCCTTAGGAAGATGCAAACCTGGGATTTAATTGTAACATCAACTTCATGAGTTTAACCTCACAGGCTTCTCTAGTTTGACGCTATTTTCCTTTTCAATTTTATCTCATAAAACTTGTCTTTCCATGCAGTCCCAGTCAACCTGGCAGTGTAGGTACACTGTTTCCTAGACCTTTCTTCCCTCCTCTATGCCAACCTTTTGCTTCTTTCTCCACTGAGTGGCCCAGCTGAAATATAACTTATTTCAATATAGGTGAAATCCAGATATTTAGACTTGTGTGTGTGTGTGTGTGTGTGTGTGTGTGTGTGTGTGTGTGGCATTTGAACTTAGGGCCTCATACTTGATAGACAGGTGCTCTACCACTTGAGCCACATCTCCAGCCCTTTTTGGTTTGGGTTATTTTTTTCATATAAAATCTTTTTGCCTAGGCTGGGCTCAGACCAAGATCCTCCAACCTAAGCCTCCCATGTATCTGGGAGAGTCCAATATAGCAACATTACACATGGGCTGGCCTCAAACTTGGATCCTCTTGTTCTCCTTGTCCAGGTAGCTGGGATTACAGGCATCATCCAAGACACCAGGCTCCAAGTTTTTTTTGACCGTACTGGAGTTTGAACTCAGGGCCTTGAACTTGCTTACCATTTGAGCCATGTTCATCATGAGCTGGCCTGGAATGTAGTCTCCTGCATAACTTAGGATGACATGCTCATGCTACTTTATCAAGTTATGAGTTGAGAAGGTATCAAACTAACTTTTCTGCTTGGTCTGGATTCAATCTGTAATATAAACTCTCTTTCTGCACTTCAGGTTATTTCCACCAAAGTTTAACAATTGAAATTTGGGTGTAGAATACCAAATTGTTTCACGTTAATTATTATTGGTGCCACTATTAATCATATGTTTTATCAAATTAATGCCACTCAACAGTATTTTAGAAACTGTCATATTTTAAAAAATTGCGATTGTATGTTTTTCCTCTCCAGCCAGACTTATTTATACAAGGTGTTTGTGAAAGATGCTACAAATAGTGCACAATGGAAACAAGTCATTTTAGTTAAAGCAAATCATTTAAAGTTGTGGAGAGGAAATGAAAAATGGGCTAACAGGCCATTTTTACCAGAGTGCTTGCTTGTTCTTGCTCTCTCATTATACACACACACATACACAAACATACACACTTGCAAAAGGTAGTAACATGAAAGACCTCACACATATACAGTGTTCCTATGAATTACATAGGAAAAAAGAAAACACTTAACACATTGTTTTCCAAAGATCATTTCAGATAGTGAAGATAGTGAATCTGACCTCCAAATGTATGTTTAGCTAACAAATCACACTAGATCGTTATCAAAGTGGAGTTGAGGACTTGCTGGATGGGATACAACATTTCCTAAGATGATGATAACTTGCCCCACTGCATATGTAAATTCCATTACCGTTTCGGGCATGAGAAGCACAGGCTGCTTGCTATTAACTGGTATGTGTGTGTATGTGTGTGTGTACATAACAAAGGACAGGGCTTTTTTGATGTTGTTTTAAGGACGAAACGAAAGTCTGGAAGCCCTGTGCATAACTGCTGTTCAACAGCGAATTCTGTTCTGAATACCTTAAAAAAAAAAAAAGAAAAGAGAGACAAGTCTTTAAGAGTTAGGTCTAGAAGGCCAAGAGTTCTATCACAAGGCAATGACCAAGTCAAAGGTAGTTTGGATTTCCCTTATGTTTGTCATATGTTAACACAAAAAGAGCAGGACCTGACACTGTAAAGGAGGCGAGGACAAAATAGCCCCCCCCCCCGCCACACACACACGCACACGCACACGCGCACGCACAGGTGTCTCGGTACCCCTGTGAACAGCCTCGGAGCCCCGGAGCCGGGCAGCTTGGGCGGCTCCAGAAGCAGAGGCCCGGCCCGGAGACGCCTTCCCCGCCCCCCGCCCCGGCACGGCTCGCGCGGCCCTCCCCTCCGCCGCGGGCAGCAGGTGCCTCTGCGCCCCACACCCCGGCTCCGCGCGCCCGGACTCGTCGCCCCGCGTCCGGGGCTTCTCTCGCCACCCACTTCAAAGGACAAGGGTCTGAGAGGCTCAGCCCAAACCGCCATAACCGTCACACAGCCCCCCGTGGAGCCGATGGGTCGCGGGGACGTCCTGAGGCCGGCCGGCCTCCGACCCCAGCTCTTCACACCCACCTGCCTCCTCCCGCGGCCCCCGCGCCGGTTCCCGAGGCCCCGCCGCCGCCAGCTCCCGTTCCCGGCCGCAGCGCCATCTTGCTCCCGGCCCGTCGCCGTCGCTGTGGCCGCCGCCGCCGCCGCCGCCGCCGCTGCCTCCGTCTCCTCAGTGCCAGTAGCTGTCAGCGGAAGACAGGCACTTCCGGAGCAAACGCCAGGCCCCACCTCGCCGCGGCCCGGGCGACGGGGCGGGGCGGCGCATCCACGTGACCCCTCCCCGCCCCGTCACGTGACCCCGCACCGCGGGGCGGGGGGCCTCGGGTGGTCTGGACTCTCCAGGAAAAGCACGCCCTCGGGTGCAGTCGGGGGCCGCGAGGCCGGCGCCGTCGCCCTCCCTGGGCAGCCAGCGTCTCTCTCAGTGAAGAGAGTGGACTGGGTCCTCGTGTTTAGAGGATGGGCACGCAGGTGTTCTTGGTTACTCTTTACTAGAGAGCTCGCGTGTTTCTTTCATAGCTGCACAGCTCTACTTCTGTCACTCGGACGCTGAATGCAATGAAAAACCTCTAAGGCGCACTAGTTCTGCTAGTTCTGCCTACGTGCCACTGGGGAGCACCTTTGTTTTCCATTCTGGCAAGCAGGAACAGTAGGATTTACTCTGAATCTATCTGGGCATTTTTGTTTATTTTCACTCTGATCTCTTTTATGTGATTCCCCGCTACCCCCACCTAGCTGGAAGCATCCCATGAAGGCCAAGCGTTTAAGTTTTTCAAGCCCTCAAGCCATGGATGATAATTGGCTTCTCAGCTTTGAGGAAAAAAGATTGCATTGATTGGTTATCAGGCACAAATCACTGGTCAGCAGTCTTCAGTGCAGTTGAAGATCTGATTATCTAATACTGACATTTCATAGATGAATAGAATCAATGTTATGTTAACAGAATTTGCCCAGATTAGGAAGCTACAAACAGGACCAATTCAGTTTGATTGCAAAACTCTATCTTGCTCTTTTCATGAGTACAATTCAATTATACATTCCTTTGTCTTTATTCACTCGTTTCACTCCTCCCCTTCCTTGGGCAAAGCTGAAATACTTGTACCAGACGATTTCTAGCTGACAAAGGAGTTTAAATTCGATATTAATCCATTGACAAACCTTTTAAACTTTTAAACTTTTTTAAACCTTTTAAACAAATACTTTTAAACTACTAAACCTGTACTCCTCCCCCCACACTTCAAATTTTAACATTTGTTGGAGGAATATCTGTGGAACTTAGAAAATTCCCCAATTTATTACCATCAATTACTTAGTGTTATTTTGATATGCCCATATCTGTATGCAGTGTATAAAGAAATATTTCCTGTTTCAGGCACAGTGCTAGGTACTTCCAATCTTGAGACAAGAACAATTTCATAAATGAAAAAAAATCAAGCTCTAAGGAATTGGAGAAGTTTTTCAGTCATGCAGCTAGCAAATGGGTTGAAACATTATACCAACTTCCTACGTACTGAGTCAAGGATCTATTTGCAAATTAAAAAATTAGGACTAAATCCCATTAAATACATTAAGATGAACAATCTTGGTCCCATCTAAAAATTCAATACAGAATCTACCTGTGCTGATTCTAGAATGAAAAGCTGAGTAAAGGAAGTCTTACCTATATTATAGTTATTGTGGTAGTGGTGCTCATAATCATGTCACTGTAAGTTCCTCAATTGCCTGAACTTTTATTCCACTGTATGCAACTAGTAACCAAGTAGCCCACAGTGAAGTCTCACTCACCATCTGGTTATAATCCTTTACTTTGGCAAAGACTTGCTTACTCAATGGATGAAAATGATCAAGACTTAGGAAAGGTAAGCTGGAAGAAAATGAAACCAGGTGTATCAAGTAACTGGACCATGCTTCCTTATCAGAAGAAACATTGTTATCAAAATTATCTTGAATGGAAAGAACATGGTTAAATGATGAAGAATGAAGTAAGAAGGGGAGATCTGGTCATTTCGCAGTTGCAACATTACAACAGCTAAATGTGAACTATCTTATCAATGAGGTAATAAGGACATTTAAACAGACCAAATAATTTTAAATCCCAAGTAACTTGAATAACCAACCAGTCATGAAAGAGGCATTTCTTTATTGTGGTTTATACCATCAAGGACATTAACAAAGGAAGAAATATTTTAAAAAAAGCAGTAGGTTTCTTTTTTTGCTGATTCTGAGGCACTGTCCCTGAGTCTTTTTGTACTCAAAGCTAGCATTCTACCACTTCCAGCTTTTTCTGAGTGGTTTACTGGAGAGTCTCATGGACTTTTCCGCCTGGGCTGGCTTCAAACCACAATCCTATCTCAGCCTCCTGAGTAGCTAGGATTACAGGCATGAGCTACGGGCACCTGGCAGAGGAGTAGGTTTCTTCTTGGCAGACCCCACGAACTGTATCTTGTCCATTCCCCCACCCCTGTCCTGCCAGAAAAAACTAGGACAGGAGGTAGAAATAGCCAATCTCTAGATTTTACTTTAAAATCCTGTTCCAGATGCCTCTTTTCAGTATACTTCACACTTTCCTTCACACTGAAGGGAGAAATCCTTCAGTTCACCACATCTGGGTGTTATTTTTTAGCATTACAATTTTTATTCTTCTATAAGAAGCATCTCTATTCAAAGCACAGAAAAGGCAATGAATTTAATTTCATTGTATGATTTTTCACTCACAAGTTGAAACTTGACATGATGCACTCATCACTCACACACCCCTGCTTTTATTTGGGGGAATGTACTAGAATTTGAACTCAGGTCCTTGTAATTACTATTCTAGTGTCCCACGACTTGAGACATGCCTCTAGCCCTACTTTTTGTTGCTTATTTTTAGAGATGGTATATTGCAAACTTTTTCTGCTTAGGAAGGCCTGGTATTATGATCCTCAAGATGTCAGCCTCCTGAGTAGATAAGATTACAGGCATCAGATACCAGTGCCCAGCTTGAGATCACTTGCCAGTTTCTTGTGCTTGTAGTTGACTTTAAATGTTTGGCAGAAGTGATTAAAAGACATGAAATAGTCCAAGAAAGCAACATTTATGTTGGGATCATAAAATTAATTTTCTTTTTTTTTCCTCTTCTACTTTTGTGTGCCAGTCTTGGGGTTTGAACTCAGGGCCTTGGGCTTTTTTTTGCTCAAAGCTTGAGCCACAGTTCTGCTTCCCATTTTCTTTTTTTCTAAGTCTTTTTTTTTTTTTTTGTCAGCTGTGAGGCTTGAACTCAAGGGTGCTGTCCCTTGTGCTTTTATGCTCAAGGCTAGTGCTCAAACAGTTTGAACTATAGTACCACTTCTGGATTTCTGGTGGGTAACTGGAGAAAAGACTCTTATGGACTTTCTAGCTCAGGGTGGCTTTGAACTGCGATCTCAGCCTCCTGAGTAGCTAGGATTACAGGTATGTACCACCAGCACCGGTTTTCAAGTCTGTCTTTTAACTTTTGTTTTCAAGGGTTGCCTTCTTCTTACTTTTCTGGCCAGAGCCCTTTTTCCTATGGAAATAAAAATTGAATAGATATTTTATATCTTTCATATATTATTTCATATTATATATCTTATTTCATAACTCTAGGGGTTAATAAACATTTATTGGAATCTACTGTATATTATAGCATAAGAGGCACTAGCAACACAAAGATGCATTAAACATGATCTCTGCCATTTAGAGAACCAGTCTCCTATAATACAATTAACTACACTACTATATAGTTTGGAAGACAGGCTCTGCTCCAATCCTAATAATACAAATTCACATTGATTTAGCGCTTATTAAGCATTAGATCAACTATACAATAGTAAGAAATGTCAGACATGAACCTCAAAAGTCTAATTCTAGAGCTTGGTGAATGATGAATGCCTAAACTAAGTAGGAAAAGGAAGTGGAAATATTTTTGAGAAAATATTGCATACTACATTATACTAACACAAAGTTCTTGGATGGATTAACATCCAATTCAACAACTAACCAAGCAATCAACCCTGAGCAAGAGAGTTTGCATTATTTAGATAAATGTTTTCATTAAATATAGAGGAAAGGAAGAGAGGGAAATTGACCTACCAAAATCCTCAGCAAAAAATCAGAATTAGCATGGTGACTCCAGATCCACAGTTCCCTCTACTATAACTGTAGTGCCTGAAATCGGTCTCCTAGGTCTACTACAGTGAATCAATGTTGGGCCGAGGTATTAACTAGTGAGTTACCAGGCATGATCAGGATCTTTCAATGAATATTCATAGAAGTGATAAGCTAAAATCAGATCAGGATGGGTCTTGTTTGTGTGCTATATTAAGAAGTTTGGCCTTTAAATGTTAAGGAAATGGAAAGAAACCATCTTAAGTGGGTGGATGACTGGACAAGATTAATACCAGTGTCTTCATGCAAATAAAAATTTAAGAACCCCAGAAGTATAAATCCTAGAAATGTAAAAATATTTTAAAAGGGCAATTATTTAAAATACTGATGCATCTTATTAAAATCTATACCAGTTACTGCTCAGTGCCTCAGAAGACTGCATTTGGAATCATAAATTTTGTTTTTTGGGTTTTTTTTTGTTGGTCCTGGGGACTGAACTCTGGGCCTGGGCCCTGTCCCTCAGCTCTTTAGCTCAAGGCTAGTGCTCTACCACTTGAGCCACAGTGCTACTTCAGGCTTTTTCTGCTTATGGTGGTACTGAGGAATCGAACCCAGGGACTAATGTATGCAAGGCAAAGCACTCTACCACTGAGCCACCTTCCCAGCCCCTCCCCTAAATCTTGAGTACACCAAAAAAGACAGTACTATACCCTGTCAATACTTGTTCTGAATACTATTTACACAGTCAATACTAAAATACCACATAAGACTCCTGTGCTGGTAGCTCATGACTATAATTTTAGCTACTGAAGAGGCTGAGATCTGAAAAGTGAGGTTCAAAGCCAGCCTAGAAAGTAAAAGCTAAAAGTGGAGGTGTGGCTACAATGGTAGAGCACCAGCTGTGAGTGAAACAGCCAAGCAAATCATGAGTTCAAGCCTTAGTTCTAGCACAAAAAAGGACTCTTGTTCAACTTACAAAGCACATAGTCTTCATGTCTTTGTTTACCTTATTTCTTTTTGTGTCAATACTAGGGCTTGAACTCAGGGCCTCAG